CTCTCTCTCTTTCTTTCTTTCTTTCTTTCTTTCTTTCTTTCTTTCTTTCTCTTTCTTTCTTTCTTTTTTTTCTTTCTTTTCTTCTTCTCTCTCTCTCTCTCTTTCTTTCATTCTTTTTTAAACAGGGTATCTCTCTGTCACCCAGGCTGGAGTTCAGTGGCATGATCTCTCCTCACTGCAACCTCTTTCTCTTTGGGACAAGTGATCCTCTGACCTTAGTCTCCCAAGTAGCTGGGACCACAGGCATGTGCCACCATGCTTGGCTAATTTTTTCAATCCTTGGTAGAGAGGGGGTTTCACCACATTGCCCAGGCTGGCCTCAAACTCCTCAGCTCAGGCAATCCACCTGCCTCTGTCTCCCAATTTGCTGGGATTACAGGTGTGAGCCACCACTCCTGGCCAGTGTTCTTTTCTTAATATGAGAGCTTACTCCTTTTTCCTCATTCATCCTTTATATCTCTATCAGGAGTATAGAAAACTTTGTTGTTGTTGCTTTGGTACTTATTGCTATCTTGGTACTTATTATACTCTGGCACCAGAGTATAAGGTGGAGGTGTGATTGGGAGTAGTATTGGCTAAAATTTTTAGTTTTAGATTAATTTTGGCATTTTAATATCAGTCAAGTATTTAACGCTGTATGCTGAGTACTATGCTAAGATTTGGAGTCTTGTGCTTAATCTGGAAATATCAAGAAAATTATACAAAAATATAGGAACTGTGTAAGTACCCCATCTTTTACTGAAAACCTAGGCCCAGCACAGATTCTGACACACAGTAGATACTCAATAATTGTTAGTTAAATGAGCATATGTGAAAATTGTATTTTTGTGGAGGTGTCACATAAGGTGTAGTGCTTTGAATATCAGAAGATCATAGAGTAGGCTGGGTGCAGTGGCTCACGCCTATAATCCCAGCACTTTGGGAGGCCAAGTTAGGAGGATCGCCTGACGTCAGGAGTTCGAGACCAGCCTGGTCAACATGGTGAAACCCCGTCTCTACTAAAAATTCAAAAATTAAGCAGGTGTGGTGGCACAGGCCTATAATCTCAGCTACTCAGGAGGCTGAGGCAGTAGAATCGCTTGAATCCAAGAGACGGAGGTTGCAGTGAGCCGAGACTGTACCACTGCACTCAAACCTGGGCGACAGAGAGACTCTGTCTCAAAAAAAAAAAAAAAATATATATATATATATATATATATATAGATAGATAGATAGATAGATCATGGAGTAAAATATATCAAATCAATTCACTAAATGTTTATCCTTGCTGAGTGCAGGGTTAGTTCTAGTTGTTTGGAGATACTCCTATGATTCTTTTAACTATAGACTAAGTATTGTGAATATGATGTTTGTCATTTAAGAAAATAAATACAAATCTGGGCACTGAGATTATAGTACTCACAGGCATATCTATCACTAGCAAAATGCCGATGCAAATAAGTTATATAATTTAGAGCCCGAAGATTAATCAAACTCTATATAAAGAACTATTCCTAATAGAACAGGCTGGAGTTCTATTCCCGTATTTGGGAGTAGAACACTCACAAAGTTTATGGCATCAATGTATCAAAAGACTAGTATGCCAAGAAGGCAGGAATAGGGAGGTCCAAAAAGAAAAAGAAATGATACTGGTGCCATGGATGGCTTCTGGAAGCTTAAGACTGGAGGTGAGCTTGGAGTTTATGATAAGAATAAGGGTGAGTTAGGAGTCATAAAAATAAATGTTCTCCAGGAACTGGTCATAACAGTAGGCTGAGAGGCTTGACATGGCATGACTCGTAGGTTATTTGCACATATGCCATTGGTTGTTGACTTCTCATCTGTTATCATTTTCTAAAGAATCTCATGAAAAGGAAATATAATGATGAGACGTCCATATTATAAGCTAGCATATCTTAATGGCTGTATTTGTTGTAATATAATGTGATCCACAGTGATATTTTCATAAAAATCTAAATAAATAACAAAGTTATATTGCGCTAGTATTTATGAGTCTTTTGTGTTCACATCACTAGAATAATATTTAAGAAAACAGGAAAAACTTTAATTTTAGCCCTAGTAATTACATATTATTTTAATCTTTCTGCTTCATTTTTTCTTCCACATCTTTGGGAATATAAAAATAACCTGGTTAAATATTCACAAATGCCTTAAAAGGAATTATGATATTTTAATGTTTAAAAAGAGGCAAAAATAATTATCAATATTATTAACTGTAGGAATTGTAGCACAGTAAATAGTTTTTCTAGTAGTAGACCAACTGTCAGACTTTGTTCTCATCTGTGACATTAATGTTAAATTGTTACATATTGTGATACTTTATTTAGAATTGTTGTGGGGTTTAAATATGATAATGCATGTCTTATAGAGTATTCAGTAACATGCCTCGGAAATAGAAACTTCTTAACAAACGGTAACTGCTGCTGCTATCTTTAGGTGATGTTTGCTATTTATTGCAGATGGGCTCTCTTGTGGCCATTCCACTAGTTTATTCTAAAATTTATTGTAGTCAGATCAAGCATGGATTACTTACTAACTTCCCAAATAAAATGTCATAAAAACAAACATCTACATCTTTCAATCTTTGGAACAATTTTTAAAAATCTGTTTGTAGAGACGGGGCCTCACCATATCAACCACAGTGGTCTCAAACTCTGGCCTAAAGTTATCCTCCCACGTCAGCTTCCCAAAGTGTTGGAATTACAGGTGTAAGCCACTGCGCCTGACCCTTTGGAATAATTACTTCATGCTTTATATCCATGTGTTAAAAAACCTGTTGGCAGCAGTTGGTGATACAATCAGAGATGAATAGCTGCTAATTAAGCACCCTTTTCTGTAGATTTTATACCAGAAGGAGGTCATTGAAAATGAGTGCACATTCTACTGGCTCAACTCTTTTGAGAACAGTGAATATCTTAGACTAAAGGTTATATATAATTTGGAAGTACCCATTCAGTCTAAAAGTAAAAACCTCATTTTTCACAAATGATATAATATCAAAATGCTGTGGTATATTAGAATTTTGTTGAAATTGAAGCCTAGAACAATATTAAACGTAAAGAATGGTAGTGCGTATCATTTAAAAAGCTCATTTATTTTCCTTGATTTTTGTTAACATCTTGGTTCAAGATCTTTCTGCGTTTTTATCACCCTTCTGCTTTTTCTTTTGCTAAGTTCATAAATAGCTCCTGTTCTCCTTGCTTTCTGCCACACTCTTTTGATCATGTTCCCTTAGAGATACCACAGGTTAAAAGAAAGCTGCTATAATTATGAATGAAATTGAGATTCCCTCAGCTCACTTTACTATGATTTGTCAATGTATTTGCTGCAATGTGTTAAATGACAAATTCTCTGAGACCTTTATAAATATAAAATTTCAGATTTTCGAAATCTGAATGCAAGGTTTGGAAATAATATGTTTAAGAGGTTGTTTGTTTATTTAATAAAATACCATTTTTCCCTCCTTCTCTTCCTCTTTTGTGAGTCTTGGAGTATTGAGCTCCTATGCCTGCTCCTGGCAGAAGGCAGGGATAAGTAGATCAGAAAGAGGCTGTTGATAGAGAAATTTCCTTCACAATCTAGATAATTTGTTAGTAGGCTCCATTGTCCTGGCGGAATTTAAACTGTGTTTAGCTCTTAAAGTCCTATCTAATTATTTGGGCGTATATTATCCTGAACTTGGCCTTTGAGAAAAGGAATATAGAAATTTCACTGTAACAAATTAGTATTCTACAAAGAATTATTGCTTATTAATATAAATAAGTTCAACTCAAAATGCTTTAGGGTTACTTTTATTGACTACAAAGACTTTGCAGGTTTTTTTTCCTGGGAGAAAAATGCTCTACTTTCCAAACCTCAGTCATATTCTTAATTCTGGATGATTTTTTTTTTAATTTTCAGTAGTTTTATTTCTAAGTCATTTAACTGTATTCCTTGACACTACTGACCTATAGCAACATCAGACATTTCTGTGGCTGATAAACACATGAGAAGCTCACTGATTTCTTTTTGCTGTAAGATGTGGCTGATAAACACTTGAGAAGTTCACTCTTTTCTTTTTGCTGTAAGAAGACCTCCTACTATTTTCTTCTTTTCCCCTCAAGCTTCATTGAGATATAATTGACAAATGAAAATTTTATATATTTAATAGTGTACAACATGATGTTTATATATATATATATATATATATATATATATATACATACACTGTGAAATGATTACCACAATCAGGTTAATTATCATATCTATCACCTCACATAGTTACCAGTTTTTCCTCACATGTCAGTATAACAGAATTTTATTAGTAATCATCAAACACACAGTGTTCAAATTTCACCGACTGTCTCATAAAATCTTATACAATTGATTTGTCAAGGCTTATGTATTGTGATTGATTGAGGTGTCTCTTATGTCTAGTTGAATCCATAGGTTTTTTCCTTTTTTTTCTTGCAATGTATTTTTTAAAGAAGTCAGGTAGTTTCCTGCATTTTGAATTTTGCTGTTTATGTCCCCATTCCTTAATATGTTTATTTTTTCTGTGTTCTCTATATTTCCTATAAATTAGTAATTAAGATCATAAAAGCT